AAGTAAGGTAAAGGCATTGTTTCTACGAAGAGGAGTACTTATTCATGGTAACGACTTTTTAAAGATCCTAGCATTTTAGTATAACTCCGGAAATCACCCTGCAGAGACTGATTGCAACAAGCACCAAAACCAATTGTGGCTCTGACCAAATTTTTCAGGAGAATCATGTGCTAACATGCAAAACAAGCTGTATTTACTATTTAGTAAATAATTACTGTCAAAAATCTAAGTGAGGTAGCACATGGCAACAGGGCTCGGCACGAGGTGGCTTGCAAGCAAGCTGGGTATCGTTTTTGGGACGAAAAGCAAAGGGGGTTTCGTTTTTGTGACCGAAGAGGCACGGAAAATTGGCGATGGCGACCTTTTTTTTGGTCGACGTTTCGTTTTTTAGGGGATTTTGGGGAATTTTTCAGGTTTTTAGAAGAAATTTGGTTGAGGGTCAAAGGGGACTTCGTAAAAATTCCCAAAAGTCAAGGGGGACTTCGTTTTTTCCATTTTCATCTAGCCACGTCGTGCCGAGCCCTGCTTGGCAAGCTATTTTGAAAGTGAGTAACCACTATCATTACGCTGCACAATTCATGCTGTAAAAGGAAACAAAGAGCAGCTTATGAGTATGGCGTACAAATTTATTCTTGTGTAAAAAATGCTTCCACTATATCGTGAGTTTATAATGATAACGTAAAAGGGTTTTAGGGCAGAGACCGGGGCTTAGGCTCCCGATTGAGTCGACGTCGGATTTGCTTCAGCAGGAAAAAGTTAGATTTTATCCTTAATGCTCACGTCCGAAAGCATCCAGAAGCTGGATGAAACCCAGTCGCTTCCAGTCCAGCTGAGAAACTGCAGAATTTCCTGCTCAAAGCAAATTTCTGGAGCGAAATTGATGTGAGAGCATTTTCAAGACAAAAAAGCAGATAACCGGTTCATTTGAAGATACGACACAACTTGAATAAAGCAGCTATCTAACACTTTTGAACGTGTACCTATCTAAAAAATTTGGAAGCCGGAAAGTGCTTCAATCAGTGAAAACTCCAGGTGAACCTATAATTTCGACCAGCTTTCAAGCCTGCTTTTTCAAAAGTTTTGAGTTTTTGGATAACCAAACGGAAACGAGACCTGTTTTGATGACTGATAGTAGGTGGTAAACACACGTTGTACCAAATTTTAGAACATTTTATTGACCACAGAATGAGGCATGGCATTTTTTAGAGTGGACCTATAATTTTGCCCAGCACTATTCGAAATCGATGATTGCAGAAGAAAAGCGTGTGATAGTGCTCTGAGCTCAACCGCACCTGAAATTAATCAAAAAAGATAACAAGCGAAGTTTGTACAGATACCAGTGCGGCACCCCTGCTTCGTGGCAGTGATTTTGGGACCCTAACTAAGACACTGCCCAACCGCCAGCTCAGACGGTGTTCTAACGGCTGAGATATTCGCCTCTAAACTGGACTCCAGGGTCGTATTTCGCGTGGGTCCTGGCGCGAAAGCATGCAAACGCGATGCAAGCCGTCCGATAGTACAATCCTGGGGTCCAGTTTGGAGTCATATATTTCAGCCGTTAGTGAGTCATTTGCGCTGCCTCTTAGGCCGTGCCTTAGTTAAAGCCCCGAAATTACTTTCAGATTTGCCTGGACGCTGCCTCTAAACGAATCCACGACTTTGGAAAAATTCTGATTGTAGGCCCACTTTGGTGCGCCAAGAGTCGCGCGAATTCGTTGGGCGCAAGTTTCCACAGGTTTCACTTATCGGATCGACTCGTGTTTTTGCACAGTTTGTCTGCATGCTGATAGGATGCTATGACCAAAATTTTAGCTCAAGACCTCTGCTGGTATTCGCACAACGCATTTTGTGACAGACAGACGTACACACAGGCACACAGACACACAGACTTAAACAACTCTTAGCCGTAATTAGTAAGGCATAAATAATGAAGAAATCGTCAAAGCTGCCGATATTAAGCAAAAACGTGTCAAAACTGAAAAAACCAATGTTCCCAAAAATTGCTCTCTCTCAAATGTGCGCAGCCTAAGGGATCCGTCAGAGCTTACCGATGTTACCAGTTTTACTCATGTTACAATAGATGAATGGTAGCATGGATAATAAACAGTATGGCCTGTTTCTGATCTACCCCCTATACATGTATCAAGATGATAGACCACTCCCGAGGCTCTTCACTAGGGAAGAGTAGCTTGAATGGAAGAGTAATGGTTTAGCCTTAAGCGTTGCCGTATTTATACCTCAAAATTTATATACCATTCGGGCAGAGCGAAATAATTATGATCCAAAATCAGGAACATAAAATTCAAGTTTTTGGTTTATACGCTTATGAAAATGTTTAGAGTTTTTGAGTGAATAAAGTTACTTATGGAAAATACATATATTGAAAGTAAGATATTTTATAAAGTTTATTTATTAGAAGCAATAATCTTTGTTTGAAACTGTCAAAGCTTGTGAAAGTTCTGTAAATTCTTAGTATCTCACGTATATAACAGTTACTTTGATTCTAATACTGACAATAGTTTCCGTGAGTATATTTATTACAGGAAAATCAAAGTAACCAGTTTTGTTAGACTACTCCAATGTGTGTACATTCTGTTAATTCTAATCATAATTTGCATATCAGGAAAGTTACAATTACAATTTTCTAAGTTTGTGCTTCCTGGTTCCAAATGTTATATTAGGTTGGAAACTAAGTTTTGCAACTGGTCTCATAACTTCCCTCTCACTCAACATGGCGCACTCAAATTTTGCCACTTTGTTGGCTATTACGTAAGCTACAAGCGCAGCTGCTACCAAATTCTGACGTCGCAGTGAGGGTTACGGTAGGTGTATTGTATAAAGGCGAAAAACTCAGAGTTTGACGGATTTGGCTGAAACTTGGCGTAGGGGTGTTATCCGACATGCTGATCACGAAAAGATAGTGAAACTGTGTGATAAGGGCTTTTTTGTAGCATTACTGTAGGTGTACGATATGGGGTCTCACCCTAAACAAGGAATCAGGCGTTGATTCAACAAATAAATATGATATTCGCGCTCGGCAGGTCAAATAACCTTATTGTGTAAAGTCTCGGCGGAATTTGAGCTTCCGACTCTTTAGTCATTGACGGTCGTTCCAGCAACTCTTGCGTACAATGACTCGTTCAACTTTGTGAGGACGCCAAATCTCGACATGCTCCTAAATTCTGTTTCTTTCTTACTAGGCCAAAGGACTCAACCTCCAGCAATAATTTGTAGACGAATCCGGATTACTGCGCGTGGTCTAGGCTGCTAAAGGCTTGATTTTAGCTTGGATTCCCAAAAATTCTCAAATTTCACTAGTTTTGAAAAATGCCCAAAACTTTTCTATTTCGTTTTCAAAATTCAAACGGTTTGTGCGCACTTGTAGCACACATTACTCTCTACATAATGCCAAAATTTGAGTGCGCCATGTTGGGTGAGAGGGAAGTTATGAGACCAGTTGCAAAACTTAGTTTCCAACCTAATATGTATTATATAGTAGGTTCAAGATACGGATTTCACTTTGATCTTAAACAATTAGTAAATCATCCACATATCTGAAAGGTCTGAACAAAATATTGGTTCCAGGATGGTTGGAGCATGTATACATGTTTTAAGTAAGAAAGCGTTAGATCTGCCAAGTCTGGGCTAGCATTACCAAATTGTGGTAAGCCTATCTTTTGTTTGAAAATATTTTGCCCTATTTTGCTATAACTATTCACGCAAATATTCAAAGAGATAAATGATATCTTTTATTTTATAACTTCGCTGTCCAGTTTTGTCTGTAACAATGTTAAAATAATGAACAGTTCTGTCACTGCAAGTACTAATATTCCCCATATCGCCATTCTACACAATCTAACTGAAGTAATGAAAATTTGCCTCAAAAGTAGTAATAGTAGACATATAACTTGCAGTGACAGAACTGTTCATTATTTTAACATTGCTACAGACAAAACTGGACAGCGAAGTTATAAAATAAAAGATATCATTTATCTCTTGAAATATTTGCGTGATTAGTTATAGCAAAATAGGGCAAAAAAAAACAAAAGATAGGCGTACCACAATTTGGTAATGTTAGCCTAGACTTGGCAGATCTAACGCTTTCTTACTTAAAACAGTACTCTGCGTTGATACCACTGCTGAACCAATATTTTGTTCAGACCTTTCAGATATGTGGATGATTTACTAATTGTTTAAGATCAAAGTGAAATCCGTATCTTGAACCTACTAGATAATACATATAACATTTGGAACCAGGAAGCACAAACTTAGAAAATTGTGATTGTAACTTTCCTGATATGCAAATTAAGTACTCTGCGTTGATACCACTGCTT